CAGCAATTCTTGTACCTTCTCACCACATCGTTATTCTCATCCGGGGTGAAAATAAAAACATTTACATGTTATTCTCACCACCCGGGGTGAGAATAATATCCATTCAATTCTCACCTGGGGTGAGAGTAATATATTATATTGTTATTCTCACCCCGGTTGAGAATAAAATGAATATTATTCTCACCCGGTCGGAGAATGCAATTTCGGTTTTTAGGTCTACCTGAGTGTTGAGAACGGATGGTAGAAAATAATTTGTGAATTGTAAGAGAGTGACCATTCATGACCTGCCCCAGAGCGCTGGCCGATTTTTCTAGGCTCCCGCGGGGATTGTTATTGTTTCATTTTTTTTTTGACCACCTCTATTCTCACCCCGGGTGAGAATAGTGCAGGCGAGTCTTTTGGCTATTCTCACCCGGTGCGCGTTCACCGTTATAGCCAAGATCTAGGCCAAACAATTTTGCGTTCACCCTAAACCGAGTGACGCGGTGGTAATTGACAAAAATTGACTTTTTGTCAATTGCCACCGAATAAATTGGAGCTCTTTTACGTTGGTGGGTAGATCTAGCTTATTGTGCTCAGGTGCTCGGTGTTGTGCGTTCGCCTCTCTGTCCCTTTGTGTGCGTGCGTTTGTGTGTGAGTGTGTGTGTGTGTGTCTTTTCCTGACCCCCGTCCTCCGATTTATGAATTTCTGCTAGTATTGAGTTTGTGTGCGTTTGTGACCTTAGAACTTCTAGAATTGCCTGTGTTGGTTCTACAGCAGAGTGTAGGCTAAGGCTAGCCTAGGCCTAGATCTAGTAGGCCTCTACGTCTCATTGAAAACACGCCAAGTTGGTACCGTATAGCTCTAGACTAGTCGTCCAATGAAGTTAGTTGAGAACAAATTGACCCATTAGACACACATTATATGTATAATGCTAAAGATAGTGTTGTTTTCAGACTTAACACCGCTTCACTCGGTGGCAATTGACGCTACCTAATGAAATAGTAACTAGTAATAGTTTGTCATTTGTAAGGCCGTCGTTATTCGGACTCGAGTCCGAATAACATATTTTCATATTCGGATATAAGTCCGAATAAAAAAAATTCTTATTCGGACTCGAGTCCGAATATGAAAAAATGTTATTCGGATTCGGGTCCGGAAAAAAAGGAAGTGTATTCGTTCTATAGATCTAACGTTCAGTGCTTCCAATTTTCCGCCATTTTTTAGTTTCCCCCACACCTTATCTGCCGGTCCAATGCCCGCCGCCTCATTGATACGCCCCCCCCCCCCCACCACGTTTCCCACTTTCTTTGTTGTAGAAAAAGGTAAAATTGAAGATTAGTAGACCACCTGGCACCTGCATATTATGAGCTGGGTAAAAAAAAAAAGACCGATTCGTTCAAATACACAAGCCTGTGTCATATCGATTGTTTACCAAGAAAAATTGTGTTGCTGTGTAGAGCTGAGCATACAGCAACTTTTGATTCCATAGACCAGCGCACAATTCATTACGTAGATCTACGTCAAGACTAGCTTATTGTTGTAATAATGATCAGTAACCGGGGGGAAAAAGACTGACGCGTATGCGACGTTCAAAGCCCGGACTGATATTCCCCCCCCCCCCCCCACCACCCTCCCCGACACGCACACAGCCACACGTGTGCAGGCCGCCCATCCGACCCCGACACACGCTAACAAGCCATCTTTAAATGCTTCTGATGACCTCTTGACAAATAAACGCTCTAACTTTTCAGGCCGGCCTCAAATTCATCATACGATTAAAACTCGGCTCCTGCACAAAACGCCTTTTTGCCCGAAGTGATCCCGGTCTCTACCCAGCCTGAGGCGAGTCACGAGTGAGGCAGGACAGGAAGCCGGATTCACGAGTCACAGGAAGTCGGAAGTGATGTCATGCTGGACAAGAATCAGAGTCCGAATACATTTTTTCATCGAGTCCGAATAATCACTTCGCATTTGTAATGTTAGAAGCATTTGTTTACAACACAAAAAAACATGATGTTTAATTACTTGTTATCCCTAGCAGAACCCACGATTATTTTTAAGGAATGCAGTGCCTTGACCCTAGGCTTATTGTTTTCTTAATTTTGATTGGTTAAACCTTACTACAAGAGTACAATTTTCCATTACAGAGCCAATAAATTAATCGAAGTGACTATTTCTCCGAACGTTCGGAGAAATAGTGCCGATCTTTATTTCTCCGAACGGTTTCCGGCTTCCGGTCTCGTGATTTTTTGCCTATTTATTGCGAGAGTTCGGTGCCAAATTTCATTCTGCAATTCTGCCTCTGGCTCTGGTCTGGGAAGGAACACCACATGGCAAGCCCGCCTACATACAACCTTCAGTAACACCCACCACCATCCTGCACATGTACATACACAAACTTATACACACACTAACTAAACATGATCAGTGGGCAACTTTTGAACGTATGACGAGCTGAGTTGTGGATGGAGAGACAGTGTGAGTGACAGAGCGGGTGAAAGGAAGAATTTACGAGTGTATCCACAGGCGACAGCAACTACAAGACGACGACACCGACCCCCCTGGCCTGGTCCAAAGCTCACGAATGAAAGGAATGTTGCTAAGGCAGTGTTTTACCTATATTATTGTCCATGGTTCGCAGGGAGCAAGGGAATGAGTGAGATTTTCTTTGTGTGTGCCTGGAGGGAGGGGGTGGGGTGTGAAAGTCATGAGAACGGGGATGAGCCGCGGGAGAGAACACGGGAATTGAATGAATGAGCGAAACTGAAAGAGAGGAACGACTCATGAGCACTGGAGTGAATGTATCCTGTTTTTTTTAAATTTTTGTATACTTTGAACTGTTACTGAATAAAGGCTGAAATAAAGCCCGAAAAACACACACACACTCACTCCTCACTCTCCACTTACACACTTACTACCACATAGACACACTCACACACGCACATGCATAGACACACACACACACACACACACACACACACACACACACACACACACACACAGGAGCAAATTTTTGGGTCTATATCTATTTCAATTTTCAAGATCTAGTCTAGAGATTTTTAGATGAGTGTAGAAACGTGAAAAAGAAAGATTTCACAACAGAATTAAATCAAAATTAGTCGAACAGCCCATAAACAAACCACAAAAATTAACAGATAAGGGTGTGTGTCAACCTAGAAGAACCCATAAAAGTGCGTAAATTATTTTTTTTTTAAGTACAGGATATTACATGTAAATTATGGAATCACACACATTAAGGGGCCTGCCAGTGTCAGTACATTTAATCGGTTTTGGTGGAACGTACGCTCTAACATAAAACATTTTAATCTATATTTATACATGTATATATATATATATTTAGAATCTAATGAAGGTAGATACTAGGAACATCAAATTAAATGACGTTACACTATGCAACGCCCCCCCCCCCTCCCCCTTTCCCCAACAAAAAAAATTGATGGAAAAACAACACATCAGAACAATAACAAGAAAAAAAGTTACACACTAACAAAATAAAACACCACAAAGAGTCAAAGAGGGAAAAATAAAAGTAACTGTACATATTCAACAAATCAACGTGGTGACAACAAGTGAGAAAGAGACTAAGCCTCTGGTCTGGGAAGGAACACCGCATGGCAAGCCCGCCTACAGACAACCTTCAGTAACACCCACCAAACACCCACCATCATCATGCACATGTACA